TAGATCCCCTCAAGTTAATATTTAATTTTTTTTCAATTTCTGTATTTTATTTATTTCAATTCAGTTGGGATGCAGAGAGTTGCTCAAGTAAGCCACCCAACTTTCCCTTTCTCCAGTGCATATGGGATACGAATTCACTAACTGGCAATTAGCTGTTTTCTTACAGAAAAGATGGCTTGTGACATTGTGAGGAAGACGACTGTCTTTTCTGTAGGTGAATCAGATAATAGCTAGGATCTGCCACATCCTCACTCTAATTGATTATACAAGGTGGAGCCATATTCAAAACTGGCTTTGTTCACGTTATTTTGTTATTGTTTTTTACGTAAAGCCAGGTTTGTCCCCATAAGAGTAAATATAATTTTAATTTTTGGCTTTAACTTTTGTAATTTTGTGCTTAATTTTGATGTTTTTGTTGCTTATAAACCTTTTGTTACAGTTGCAGTAATCTTAACTTATTATATACTTTCGAGAGGATTAGGGTTTGCTTTTTAAGCATATAGGTTAAGCATTTGTATATATTTTCTTTTAATTTATTTTTTGGTAGTTATTTTATTTTGCACTTGGTTTTACTCTTAGTTTAACTTACAAGGGGTGCACATGAAACTGTTAAAATACTTAATAAAAGGTTTTGTCACACGTCTTTTACCACTTCCACATCCACCATAATACATTTTCCTTGTGTTTGCTTTGACTTGTTTATTGTTATAATAAATACTGTAATTTGTGCACTGTCTCTTCATGATAAACTTGTGAGACTTTGAAGAAAAACACAACACACATACCACGTGAACCTCCAATTAGTGGACCATAAACGACTATTCTTATGGAAATTTGTGCATCAGAAAAATTCACAAAGTAGAAGGGAAGGATAATGTTTGATGCTATGACCAGAATTCTAACCTTGGAAGAAAGAGGAAAATGTCATTGCTGGATGATCTCTACCAACACAGACTGTTTCACTGATATGTGAGACAGCAAGTACTTGCTAACAAAACACATAGTCGATGGAGTGTGGCGAGCCTCTCTGAGCTGATAGTTGCCCTGCTGAGCTAAGACCCAGTCACGAGAAGCTGCTGGTGGATGATCGGTGGAACAGTAAGGAGTTTCACTGTGAAGAAAGGTGCCCAGTCTCACCAGGAATTGCAAAGAGATGCCACTAAGAGGAGCTATTTTGACACTAGGTGAAACAGCTAGTACTTGCGTGGAAGAGTATATCAAATAGTATGGTGGCTAATCCAGTTCTTTCCAGGCTAGGTGGTGCTTGAAATGTGCCTGCAAGTATCTATGTATGGTATGGCAATGAAGATCCTTTTCGAGACTCGTTTATTTGTTTGGTTTGAATTTAAGTACAAAGCTACGCAATGAGCTATCTATGTTCTGACCACCATGGGTACAGAAACGTGGTTTCTAGCGTTGTAAGTCCGCAGACATACCGCTGTGCTACTGGGAGTCCTTGTTGAGACAAGAGCTGCAAGAACCCTAGTGGGTATTTGCCGTGTATCAGAAGTTCCGAATAGAGCCATTATGCCAGCCAGTGGACACTCATTTCATTTTGGTAAACAATGAAACACTAAACGTCAATGTTGAGGCCATGGGAAAGATGTCTGGTATATGGGGAAGATATCTTGGTATTTGGCCAAATGTTTGATTCTGCTGTTATGAATTTGTTCATGGTTTTACAGCAGGTAAGAAGGGTAGGCTTAAAGTTGAAACCTAGAAAGTGTGTGCTTATGCACACGCAAGGATAATTTATTGATTGCATCAAGGTACTGAAGGTGTCTCGACTGACCCTGCAAAGATCACAGCTCTTCAGGACTAGCCCCAATCTATGACCAAACAAAAAGTTTGAAATTTCCTTGGGTTCGTGTAATCTTTTTCCACGATTGCCAGACTCAGAGCCATATAGTAATTAATTTCACTGTTAACTGGATGCCAAAATTCACCCCTCAAAAGCTCAGGAAAGAGAAATTGAGAGAAACAAAATTGGCATAGCTCTTTGCCACGCTGCAAGCACAAGTTGAGGAACTGAGTGCAGGAAATCCAGTCTGAGGCATATTTGTGAGCAGATACAGGTTCATAAAAATGGTTATACAATTTTTTTATATCACCAAGATGAAATCAACCTATGCTGCATCTACTGGTTCCCCATCTCCTACATTAACAGATTCTTGAAGCCCCGTATAATTGAATGACTGGAGGTCATTAAGGCATTACATAAACTAGTGCTAACATCTGACAATGATTCTAATGCCCGGGCATGTATCATGAATTTTAGCACTGATGTGTGCTGTGCAGAGAAACAAATCAACCAATCTAGGACAAACTCATACAAAGATTTGTTGACTCTCCTCCAAAATAACCCTGACATCATTGACTCCTCCCACAGATGAGGAGAAGTAATCAATATGGGTTAGTTGTCATTGATTACTACACTAAATGGACCAAAGCTTATCCAATGACCAACACTTAAACACATTTATTTACTAAAGTATTGGCAAAGTAGATATCACCCCTGTAGAGATTTGCATGGATCAGGGTACTAATTTTAACAGCCAGATATTCTCTGTGTTGTGCACAGTGTTGAGTGTGATGAAGACGCACACTTTACCTTATCACTCTCAATCAGATGGTTTGGTGTAACATGCAATACAGACTGTAGAGAGGATGCTTACAAAACTTGTTTATCTCAGTCAAACCAATTGAGAGGAACACTTGTCGTACATCATGATGGTGTACCAAGCAACTGAACAGAAGTTGACTGTTTTTTACCTAAAATGCTCATGTGTGGGTGGGAAATGACACTCCCTGTACATATGACGTGGTACTACCCAACAAAATGAACTACATTTAACGACTACAACTCACAACTCGATTACCACAATTAGGATTTAGTTTGTTTTGTATTTCGAGTAAAATTACAAGAGGGCTATCTGCGCTAGCCGTCCCTAATTTAGCAGAGTAAGACTAGAGGAAAGGCAACTAGTCATCACCACCCACCGCCAACTCTTGGATTACTCTTTTACCAACAAATAGTGACATTGACTGTCACATTATAACGCCCCAACGGCTGAAAGGGCGAGCATGTTTGGTGTAACGGGGATTCGAACCCGTGACCCGCAGATTGCGAGTCGAGCGCCCTAACCACCTGGCTATGCCAGGCCCGGTGAAATAGAAACTCGTTTGTAACAAAGGATAGGAAGTTGTGCTTCTTTTTCTTTTTTTCTTAATAAATATTAAAACTGTAATAAAAATACATAAAGGTACCAATACTGAAAAGAAAGGCATACTGTTTTCAAGAATTTTAACAATAGTGGTTACATAGTTCATTCTAATGCTGATGGATATACAACATTAGTAGTTTATTTCCAAAATTAGAGATGAATAAAAGCATATCCTGTATCCTGTCAAGTTTAGTGCTGGTTGATCAAGAAATGTAGAAACGTATAAGGAACAGATACACACACACGTACTGACGTTTATTTATATAGATTTTATCAGTCGTAACAATCGTTAAGTTCTGAATGTTTTGAGCAAATGAAAAAAATACGGCAAAAAAGGCAAGTGGAAAAAATACAAATGAAAAAACAAATAAACATGGTACAAAAAAGCTAAGAAGCTCCGGAGAGCTACACTAGATAAGTTTAATTTTGTTAGGGCGTAGACGAATTCACACACATATGCACATAGGTGTGTGATAATTCCGTCTTTAAACGTAAACGTTTTCTGAAAAATTTCGGTAAAAAAAACCACGACGAAACCATAACAGCTGTTAGAGACAGAATGCTAGAGACAGGTGGAAATGGCTAAGCGAAACAGATGACTTCCATCCAACTGTTCAATAACAGGATTTAAAATTTAATTTGTTTGTTTGTTTTTAGAGCAAAGCCACATTGGACTATATACTGTATCCACTGCGGGGAATCCCAGGTTTTAGTCTTGTAAGTCCCTACCCGTAAACTTACATTTTGTTAAGACCCATGTAAGTCCCTACCCGTAAACTTACATTTTGTTAAGACCCATGCAAGTCCCTACCCGTAAACTTACATTTTGTTAAGATCCATGCAAGTACCTACCCGTAAACTTACATTTTGTTAAGACCCATGTAAGTCCCTACCCGTAAACTTACATTTTGTTAAGACCCATGCAAGTATAAGTGAAACTTTTTTTGCAGCAATGTAACTTAATTTTATTTCGAAACGTTCGGTTAAGCATTTAATTGTTTTACGTTGATGTATTATTGTAATGAAGTGTTATTACAATAGTTACCTGCTGAGAATATTAAGAAAGTTGGTGAAAACAATAATTCGGTTTGTCTTTCATTACTGGTGTGTACATTGTGCACCCACATGTGTACATTGTGCACCCACATGTCTGCGTTAGGTCTCGTTTTTAATGAACACAAACACATTTGGGTTCAGCACTTTACAATAATCAAAGTTAATCACAATTTTCCACATATCATCAAAGTAGTGTCTTAAAATAATCAAGAAAGGAATACATCGTGTTAGAAATATGCTTCTTTTTATGTCTCGTCGATGGAAGATTTTACCAAATACACTTCACATAACAATTTACTTTTCATTCTAAAAAATATGAGTTCATCCCTTTTATGATTTTTTGTTTAGGAAAGTTTAAGTAGGATTACTTCTCTTCTGAATAATATTTTCATGTTTAGTAATATATTACTCTAATAATGTAATTTATTTACGTAGACGTTGTAGTATAATATCGCGAATAATTCGATTATGTGAAGAAATGAAGAAAAACATATCTCGATTCGTTTTCAGCATCAACGAAAAAGCTGCAAACTGAATTTAGAACAAGTTGTTATACATTGTTTATCTGAAAGTGGATTAAGCAAAAAGCACGCACGCCCTAAATCCACTGTTTTATAGGCTGCGTTTTGTTAGGTCTAGCAGGTATGTATAGAGCACAGGCACCACAATGAGGTGAGCGTGATTTCAATCGGTTGAGTGTTGACTGTCTAAATTGCTGTCATGGCTTCGGATGAGCAAACTCCTGTTACGTTTGTTGTCCAGTATCTTGGCAAGCGTGACGCACGCGGATTATGGGGTATCAAATACACTCGACAACCAGTCGATGAACTGGTGTTAGAGGCACGATCTCTCAAACCTGGAGTGACTTTACCGCTTTTGAAATTGCAAGTATCGTCAGAGGGCTTGACAGTAAGGGAAATGCCTCAAAACACAAACCCCAACTTTGAAGCAGGGCTCTTTCCTATTGATTCTATATCGTATGGTGTTCAGGATCTTGTGTATACCCGTGTTTTTGCAATGATCTTTCTTCGAGACTCACCAAACGTTTACGAGGTACATCCGTTTGAGTGTCACGCTTTTGTCTGCGATGCTCGACAAAGCGCGCGTTCCTTGACCCTAGCTCTTGCCTCGGCCTTTCAGGAGTTCGGCAAGATCGTCAAAAAAGAAGGCGGTAAAAAAAAACCTAACAAATTCGCCATTGATCTTCGAAGTGCTGAGGAGATCCAAGCAGAACTTCGTGGTAATTTTACTGACCACTCGAACGTTTGAAAAAAATCATGTTGGATTACAAATTTGAAATTGGTAAATTATATGTATGTATGATAAGTAACTTTAACGATCTGTTGATGATTGTAAACACACCATAGGCTCTGAGTAAATGTAATAAAATAACCGATGCCAGATAACACAGTATTGTAATAACATTGGAAACTATGTGAATTCTGTAAAGAAACAGTATTGATGTAAACAAACAATAAATTATTTTATTAATATATGACAAAATTTATGTTTATTGGTTTCTAATGATATGGTTTTAATGTATGGCTTTATTTTTTCAACATTACTTGTTTAATGTTAATTCTTACTCCTAACTGGAAATAGCATGTATTTCATCAGAAGGTTTACAATGTTCGTATTCAGATAAAGTGAGAATAATAATGTAAAAGGTCATTTCGGTATAATATAATTTCACGACTAAGTTTAAAGTGTAAACATTAAAAAAAAATGCATTTTAATGGTTTAAAATGCCGTCTCTGTTAATTTTGTTTTGCATAAATAGTTCGTGTTGTTAAAATTCATAGTATTAGAGAAGTAAAACAAAAATACAGACGCGAGTTAAAGAAGCTGAGCCTTTTTTAACTGCGGCATAACGGCTCATAGTTTTTTTTTGTTTTTCAAGTACAAACTTTTAGTTCAGCTCCATTTCTTGACCGATTTGAGATCTAATTACAGCCGCGGCTATTGCGGATTATTCTTGTTTGTAGTTCCAACAGTAAATTGTACTGTGTCTCGGTCAACAGTGTAAAATCTACTGTGCCCAGAAGTTAAGAAAACTGCCGAAATAATACAGTAATTAATTTGAATTCGAGTAGCCTTGCGCGAAATTCGAAACGAATAAAACCATTAACAAGATATCGGGGGGGGGGGGGTTAAAGGGTAAAAACAAAAACAGAATCTTTAAAGCTTTTTTTTATAAGATATTATTTTTGTGACGCCTCTTGACATTCTACTGTTGGTCAAAAATTGTAGATTTGATTACCAAAAACTATGGATAAATTTTTGAGCTTGAGACAAATTATTTTATTCTATAAAAATTTTAAACAATGAATGTACGCTACATCAGAAATGAATTTGTACTTTTAATCCACATCACATGAAGAACAAACCAGATCGTCAGTGGTCTTAAAAGGTTATTCAAGGACAAATTCGTCTAGAACTTGAACTGCAGATGGAAATGCAGATTGTTCTGTGTCATGTACTACATAATACACGGTTCGTTGCATTTCGATACATAGCAGTCGTGTTTAATAACAACTGTATATTCTGAGCGAAAGGTCAGATGGTTTTATATATTCTGTGCACCTGTAGTTAGTCCGTAACGTTATCACCAATTTGAACAGAGAAACAACGGGTTTAGTAATAAGTATACACTGAAACAAACGGTACACTACTTTTATACATACAGCGTTCTAAAGAAATGCTCTCGTAAAGCTCGCGACCTACCCTAGCAACTGCTAACATTTCACACGAGCGGCTAAGGATTGTTTTTTTAAAGTTGGAGGAGCGAGAGACAGAAATAAACTTGATAATTCTGTCAATCTAACATAGTTATTAATAATAGTGTACAAGTGAGGGCATGTGCCCCTTCTGTCCTATATATGAGTAGTTCAGTCTGATAGTCAAACCTTCTCTGGGATCTTCCAATAATGTCTTCTGCGTTGTTGATTTCATAGCCTTTAAGACCAGAGGGATTCCTCATGGGCTTGAATGAGAATTTGATAAAGGCTTCAGTCCATATTTCAGGAGAAATGTCCATTGCCCAACTATGGTAATAGTACGACACTAACTTAAACAGGTTGGATTCTGTAAAGTTCTTTAAGGTGGAGATTCTTACATCTTTCAGACCTGGAGCTCCATCTTTACATGTATTTACGGTTCCGTAGATCTCGTCCAAGGTAAAGATGGCTTCCATATGTACACGTTATTGCAGCTCTGCAGGAACTGCTATAGTCTTTCTTGCATGTCACTATTGTTACACTGCTTAAGGTCTTGCCTTGGACTTCATCTGTTTGGAGTAGACTATCATCATTTTAAATGTTACTTCGCCGTGTTTTTAGTTTCTGTGCCAGCCATAAGAATGAAGTGAGATTAGCCTTGTTCCACAATTCATTCCATTTAATATCTTGTGCTTTCGAACCTGATCACCTGTAAAGAGCACAAGATATATTAGATACAACCCCTGTCCCCTCTGCACGGGCTTGGTCATTCCTTACGTGCATGATCTAAGCCTGAGTTTGATTGCTGGCTTTCCAGATTTTATGAGTATCACTATTCTACCAGTGTGGGGTGTTGCCTTGAGTTCTCTCGATGACGAAGAAATTCTTAAGGGGATGAAAGCTCTGAAAAAGCTTGGAATCCTTGCGTGGATTTATAAGTCTTTCATACCACTTTGTCTTCCAATATTCACGCGCACCCCACACATAATGTGATCGCCGTTGTTATTATATCACCTACTAGCTTACCCGTGGGCCTATGGCCCACACTTACAGGACCACTATAATGTAAATTTAATGCTTGAGCTATTATTTTGTACTTTTTCAGTTTAATGATCGTTGCCGCTATAATACAAAATTAATTTCTTTAACCAAGTTACAAACGCTAATTAGTAGGCCTACTTATTTACGTGCTCTAATGTGAATCGATGTAAAAGTTAAGGTTCGCTTTCCGGAATCCCCGTAAAATTGTTTTCGCGAAAGACCCGGGTTCCCGAAGAGGTTGGGTGAAATGTTTTAGCTTTGTACAACCTTTGGGTTCAATACGATTCGTTTGGTATCACTTATAAGTCGGTGTGACCAGCAGTTTAGGGGGAGTTACGTGATACAGACAGACAGAGATTGGATGACGATGAACCCACTTTGAGACTAATAATGGCTGGAGACGGCTTGAATGGGTAATGAAGAAAAACCTTAATATTATATTAAAGTTTTTCTTCATTACCCATTCAAGCCGTCTCCAGCTATTATTAGACAGAGATTGAATCTCATTATATTGATGTCAGGTGGAGCTGACACGGTGGGGTTGACAAAAGAAATGCAGTAATATGTGTGGCATTACATCACAATAAGACGGATAATGATTTTGTAAACATCTTTGAGATAAATGAAAACTATTAGATATTAGCAGCATTGAGAGGGATGCCTAAATATATATGTATATACATGTAGTCGCTACTTTTGTCTAGATTATAGCATTAATGACGGAAACGCTTATATATGTATTGAAAACTTATATAAGATCACGTTTCGGTTGCAGAAGCCGTTTTATACCATAATAAATGCAGAACAGTAGTTTTCAATACATGTATAGGGGTTTCTGTCATTGTTGTTATAATCTATAGCAGTGCTTCTCAACCGGGGTTCCGCGGAACTCTCGAGTTCCTCGACAGACATCCAGAGGTTCCATAAGATATTAGGGTTTTGTAGAATGCAAGAGTTCCGCATATCCTAATACGTAAATACATACAAGTCACATAATTGCAATCCGACTACATCATATTTCTTTATTAGTTTAGCGGGTTTCATAATGATGCAACATAACAACAGGTCACTGCATTGTTTTAAATAAGTGGGCCTAACTTGTGTTTTTCTTGTTACTACCAATTTTATTAGTAGATATTTTTCTACGCTTTCACAGTTGAAAATAATCTAACAATATAAAAGTAATTTTGATTAATTGAATCCAAAATATTAATGTGTAAGCTAACAATCTATGATATTTTTCAAGATTAGTTGACACTATAAATATTATATACTAACTGAGTTACCCGGCGTTGCACGGTGAAAATGTAGATTTGAAATGTATAGATCAGTATTTATTTCAACAAATTATTCAGTAAGTAGACAAAAGCTGTGATGCGAGAAATAAAAAAGCATTTAATCAAACAAAGCTTTATTTGAAATTAGATCTTGTTCTTTGAGCCTGAAGTCGTACATCATGTTGCTCCTCTGTAAATTATTTGTCTTAATTTGTATGCTTGAAGTCTGGTTTGACGTTGTTCAGAAGTTTCTTGTTGTCTATATCCAGCTTGCCTTGTTGATTCTGACTGAACTCTGGCTTTGTGCTGTTCAACAGTTTCTTGCTGCCTTTGAGTAGCCTACCTTTCAGCTTGAGCTCGAAGTCTAACTTTAAGTTGTTCCAAAGTCTCTTCCTGTATTTGAGCAGCCTGTCTTGCAGCTTGTGCTTGAAGTCTTTGATTGTGTTC